CTACCATGGGATCCTCTAAATTGCCTCTCTGAATGACTGATATTTCGGACACATTGATGCAAATATACAATAACTTGGATCCTGGATCGATTAGTGGAAGCATATGAGTATTAAACAATGAAAACATACCTGGGAGAGAGAGAGAGGAGGGGGGTTTGGGTTTATTGGTGGGGTGGGGGTCTTTTATTTAGGGGTATAAATTGGCGTATGAGTTGTAATGCCTCGTATTAAGATGGGAATATGAAGAGCTCAAAAGAAATGATTGTACTACTCATACCAACAAGGTGCATCTTCTTTTCGAGAGCTCATCACCTAAAAAACTCCAAAGTTAAGCGTGCTTGACCTGGAGCAATTTTAGGATGGGTGACCCCCTGGAAGTTTTCCTTGAGCGCACACGAGTGAGGACAAAGTGTGCAGGAAAGACTTGTGTTGGTTTGTGGGGCCAATCTACAATCCTATGAGCGGACACTTATGGCTAGGGTGCGGTCCGGGGTGTTACAAATAGTATCAGAGCAACCCTGCGACCGTGACGGGCTAAAAGAGCTGAGTTCACCTAGCGGGGAAGATCTATGGGTTCAAAAAAAAGGATGTAACGAGGACGTTGCATTCCTAAGTGGGGGTGAATGTAATACCCCGTATTAAGATGGGAATGTGAAGAGCTCAAAAGGATTGATTGTACTACTCATACCAACAAGGTGCATCTTCTTTTCGAGAGCTCATCACCTAAAAAACACCAAAGTTAAACGTGCTTGACCTGGAGCAATTTTAGGATGGGTGACCCCCTGGGGTGTTACAAATAGTATCAGACCAACCCTGCGACCGTGACGGGCTAAAAGAGCTGAGTTCACCTAGCGGGGAAGATCTATGGGTTCAAAAAAAAGGATGTAACGAGGACGTTGCATTCCTAAGTGGGGGTGAATGTAATACCTGTTGTATTTAGGTGCCCTAGCGGCAATCAAATACCTATGTAACTGTAAACTTTATCATGAATGAAAGGCCTTGAAGTATGTTTTATATCTCGTGTAACATAACATAGCTTCAGTCCATAGACGATAGCGCTTCAGTAACATAGATGAGGACTACGATGTTCTGATTACGAGACTGTTACTTCTTGACGAAGGCTATGTCTAGAATATCCCTAGTTGCACTTTATGATAATACAGACGTCATAACGTATCAAGACTAGTACGTACGAGATGAGATAGTTGCGTCTCATAGACTATAGGTATTGTGATATCTTAATCTGTACGTAGGTGCATATTATATTGATAATATGTGACTGGATTGACCCATCTTGAGAATACTGCATGGATCTACAGTAATGTGTTTATCAGTATTCTCAAATCGACCTTGCTATAACTATCCTCA